GTAAGCAGACATGAAAACTGTTTGGTTCAAGTCCTTTAATTCCTGCCATATGTCCCCCAGATGACTGGACTGAAAAATTCAGCATTAGTTGTTTGCTTTTTTTAATGGTGTTCTCTGGTATGGTGTGCCATTTCACTGTTGCACATTCCTGACCTTTTCCAGCCTGGCAGTAGACTAACAGGCCTTATGGGCAGGACACTGAAAAGGCTAAAAGGGTGTGTGAAGGGGTTGGTTTGGCTTTTTAGGTCCTTGTTTCACATTTCTCACTCTAGGCAGACTCTTAGCGCTTTTCAGGGTTGCCAGATGGGAGGTCTCTCTTCTGCTCTAGTGACTCACGGACTGGCTGGATTGCAGGTCATGTCATATTTTCTTAATGGTACCATGGATAAGTGTTTGTTCAAGCCCAAATCTGTCATGACTGCAAATTTTATTGACAGTTCTAAGGTTGCAAATTTGCTGGTTATATGTGCGGTAGTCTTTCCTCTGATCCCAAGTATGCCAGGCTGCGTTATGTTTACCTATATTATAAAAACACCTTGATTGCTTTGAAAGGTTGGTTTGTAAAGGTGTTAAGAAATTAAATGTACTTGTTCAGGGTGGGTGTCATTTAAACTTGAGCGTGAGAGTTTTGTTCCATCAGTTTCTTGCATGCTTTACTGTGTTTAAGAAGGGCTGCTGCTGACAGTTTCTTGGCCTGGAGATAAAAGGTGCTGCTTACCCAGGTTTGATACTCTGATGGAAAATGGTCTCCACGATGTATAACACTGCTGGGATTATTTCTAGCCATTACCATTGGTCTCATTTTACAACCATTCACATTATGTAATTTGATGCTCATTTAATTTCATGAGAGGATGCTGCAGACTTACTTACGACTCGGCAGGGCAACCTGTACACTTTGACCACCTCTGTTATCCCTGCCAAAGGAGGAAGAGCATGTTTCTTACAGAACATGTTATAACATCTTTAATACCTTTATATCCAGGTTTCCCAGATTGCTGCAGACAGGAGGGCAACTTGCCCGGAGTGTAGATTATACTGGAATGGCAGGAGAAATTTAGGGGTTTTTTTCTTGAACTGCTTATTAGACTTTTGTTGTAAGGTTATCGAGAGGTATTAATGGGCTTTTTCTTTTGTTGCAGATGGAATTTTATGACTCTCTGTATTTTGAATAGGACAAGGAGATGTGTCTGATAAGGTAAGAGAGAGGGTAAGATAAACATGTTCGTATACAAAATCGTCTCACTGGTTTGATTTTGGTTTGAAGACAACCATTTCTTTCCCTGGCAGAACCCTGCAAATAATTGAGATGTTTATTTTTCAGTTACATCTGTCTCTGACTCTCCAAGCAGAGACTGCCTCTGTTCTATACAGCTTCTGACCCAGTCCTTTCTCCTAGTGAACTGATGTACAGATTTAGAAGACAAAAACATACACCCTTTCAGGCATAGGGCTTAGCAAGATAGATTGTACTTATGCTACTGTTTTAGAGCTTTTTTTTAAAGTAACAGATGAGATAGAAAAGTTTTTGTTCAGTTTTGAGATATTGCCTCCCCCACCCCCTATCCCAGATATTTGAAAGGTAAAAAGATTTCAAGCTGTTTTAGCTTCAACACTTTAAACCTTGTTTTTCTTGTTGTAGTATTTTCAAATTTGGACTGTTTTTATTAAGACAGAGTCTATATGAGTAGAAAACCTCCAGATTTGAGTATTTGTCGTCACTAGTGTGGTGAAGGAAGCTGAAAGTTTGCTGATTCTTTTTAAATTTATTTGTTTATTTGTTTTTATTAATAGCATTTTTTAAAGGCAGTGTTTATATACTTTCTTTCCTTTCAGTTTCTGCTTCAGAGGCTTCCACCGGTAGAGAGTAGATGTCTTCAGAACTCTTAGATGTTGGGATAACCATATTCAAACAACAAACAGCCAAACAAAGAAGTAGTATTACACAGGGATTGTCACTGTCTTTCAGAATAGGATCCACACTGTAACTATCCAGCTCTATCACTTGTGTGTTCCATTTTTGTCTCCCCTTTCTTCCCGAGCTCTGTGCCATTTACAGGCCTCAAAAATCCCTATTGTTCTTTTTGGCTCTTGGTTGGAAAATGTAGTGGAAACAGCTAAATGCATCATTGTATGAGGACCAGGACTAAAAGACTTTTTCCTTGGATTCAGAGATTTAGCTGTTGTAGATGCTCTTGAGGTTTTTTGGTTTATGGGTTTTGGTTTTGTTTGGGTTTTTTTCCATTTATGTTTTGTTTGCTAAGTAGAGTTAGCCTTTGGAGGGTAGCTGCCCAAGCAAGAACTCAAAACTTTGAATGACTCTTGGCTTTGTGTGCTGTATGCAAGAATCAAAGGCTTGCTTGCTTCTTAGGTTTTTTTGCAAGTATTAGGCATTTTGTCCATTTAAACTACCCCTCTTTCATGCCATTGTTGGATCTTGTTATGAATATTTTATATAAAGGCTCTACACTAAGGTGGTCTTGTATGCATATAGTTGGTAAAATACAGCTCTCCAGGTGAGAGGCCTTGCAGTCTGCAGCTCTGTTACACAAAGCACCTTCAATGCATACCTCATTTGTTATGTAAACGAGCTGCTTCACTTGCACGTGTTCCAACCGGTCCTCCTATGCTCCAAGAATGGGTAATTAAAGTTGCTTTCAGGACTTAGAGTATTTTCAGCCACCTAGAGTATTTTCAGCCCAACCTGTGCTGGCACCCCTCCACAGGCATGCAGGCTGTTCAGCTGCCATCCCATTGCATGCCTCCCACCGGCACTGATGCAGCTGGAGGCTGAGGGATGCCCACTGTGCCTTTGCCACTGGGGTACTTTCGTCAAAAAAGCAGCATGGCCAGAATGGGATAGGTAGAAGTGCTTATGTTCTGGCTGGTTTGTTCAGATACAGTTGACCAAGAGGTGTGTTTGTCCAGTGTCAGTGCAATGTGGGGAACTTTGGTGTGCATGTGGGATAACAATTTACTTATTCAGCTGCTAGTATTTTCTGGAGATGTTATCCTCCTGTATTATACATATATTATATAGTGTATGTTGTTCAGTACTGTTCTCTTCTGTGGAATGGATATTGATAAATCTTCATTATACTGTTATACTGTCTTTTCCCAGGGCAAGCTCACTCTTCCTTTTCGTGTAAAACAGGCACTAAGGAGGCTCTGTTTCTAGCAAGTTCTGCAGCTTGAGGCAGTGAGGCCTCTCACCACTGCTTTATTGCCTGCCCCAGGCACGTGCAAATTGTAAGCCAGATCCCAGCAATTGCAGAACTGGCTTTAAAATGAGATACTGTGAGGAAGAAGTAGCACTTCCCACTGGCTCTCGTCTTTCACCTATAGAAGAAAATATTCTGTCTGCATTTTGTATAATGCCTTCTCAGGATAAAATATAATCCTGAGCTGGGAATGGGTGTCTTGTTCGCCTTTCTCTGAGAGGGCTTTGTTTATGCTTTCCCCAGCAGCCTGGGCTAGGGGAATGCAGCTGTCCCATGCTTGTCCTCCTGTGTTATAAGAAGTGGCTGTCCTGGTCATGTTCCTTCTCAAGGCCACAGTTGTCAGGTGTCCCTCTTTCTTTCAGCTATCCCTAGCTACTGTGGATGGCATCAGTGTTACTTATTTATTTCATATTTTTTTTAACCTTCTGCTTCCTTTCTGCGTTCTCTCACCGCATTTACATTTAGGTTTTCATTCTTCCAGGCAGGCATCTGAATCCTGCCCCAATTGTGCCCTTGAATCCTGTCAGTATCTCCTGCCCATGTTTTTTGTTGGTTGCTTACATTTTTCATGGGTATTTCCTGACCCATTCCCTGCTGTTTTTTTCTTCTGGAGGAGTCCTTCTGAAGCATTCCTGTGTTTCTTGCTGCCATTCCAGTTAAAGGGGTTGCTATGTTTTGGTCCCATTTAAAGCAATGATAGATGGTCCAGTCTGTACAAAGAATAATCTTGGTTTAATCCTAGCCATGATGACTTCCTTGTAATGGTTGGCTTTTGGCATCTGTCCTATTGATTATGTGATGAGGTAGAATTAAAAAAAATGAATAATAGCTCTTTTAGTGTGCCTGAAGCCTAGTGATGAAATTATGAGACTTGGCAAGCTTGCAGCAATGTTGATAGGTGCCAGACCTCTCACCCAATATTTTCTTTTCTTTCCCCCATATTTCCCTATGCCTTTATCTTACTTCCTTCCAAGGAACTTGGAGCCCTTGTGAACTGCAAGTCAGGTTTCACGTGAGGTCTGCCTGATAGCTCGGATCATAAATATAAAATTGTTCTGTTAAGGCCTAATCTATTTTCAGAGGTATGTTTATAAGGTAAAAATTACTTTGATCGCTGAAACAGCATTGTGTCATTTTTGAAAGGAAATGACAAGGAAGTAACTTATCAGACCTATTTTCACCCGCCGTTAGCTTAGACCTGACAAATTGCAGCTCCAAAGTCTTGTGCCTTAGCAGTTCCAAATTAGGTTGCCAATTAATATTGATTATCTGAAAAGCAGTAGGTTGATATATATTCTATTATTAATAGCTGTTAATGCACTTTATAATACCAATCTGTTTTGCAGACATTTTCTGGTTGTTCTTTTTTAATGAGTCTTGGCAGTGAAAACCCTGTTTTTACACATGCAGAACCACAGTAACTTGTTGAAGTGTTTGTGTGTGTAGGGTTTTGTAGGGTTTGGGTTTTTTTTTCATTTTGGGTGTGTTTGTGTTCTTGTTTACTGTAACACTTAATTTTGATGAGACCAAATAGAGGCAAAGTCCAGTAATTATTTCTGTCTGAACTGGTACATTGTGGTTTCTTCTTGTGTTAGTGTGTACCAGTGCAAAACTCTTGCATCACTGCTAGATGACTTTTAATAACTTCCTTTGACATTGCCTATGAGTATTTTTGTCTCCACAGAAGCCATCTTAGGAAAACTTTCAAAATAAGAAAGACAATTTGAATAAAACAGTAAGAGGTAATTTGAGTTCCTTTTCTTGTGTTATTTAGCTGTTATGTCGCAATATGTGGAAAGTACCTGGAAAGCACAGGGAGAAGAATGGGAAATATCTCATGCATAAGGAAAAGCCTCTAACAGTGTGTGTGGGTAGACTATATACATAAACGTAGACATCAAGGTAAATGCTTTTTCCTCTTTTTTACTTCCAGAAAATTTGAATATTTGCACAATCTGATGTTACAAGTTGTAAATGCTTAGCACTTCTAAAAGAATAAATTACTTCAGTGCCTGAATGTGTAGATAACTGTCAGCTTCAAAGGATCAAGTGAGTTGGAAGGAATGTCTGGAGAACTTGGTATAGGCAGGTATCAGGAAGAATATAGAAAGCAGGGGAATATATTCAATTAATATAACAGAGTCCTAGATGTAAGTTTATGTATAAATTAAGACTAATTATGTTACAAAAAGCGAATTTCTGTGGTTCTGCTTTTAGCGTAAAAGTGAAATGTTCACTTCCCTCTCCCCATCTCTGTCATACTATGTTTCCCAATCTGCTTGTTGTAAGAATTGTTCTGCTTCTGTAAAAATTGAGTTGGAAAATTAACCTATTTAATACTTTTCAAACTACCCTTAGAAAAAAAGGCTACCTTTTGGCTTTCGAATATCCTTGTTGTGAGGTGGCTGGTTCTGTAAGGTATAAGTAACTCTGAACTCTTGACTAAGCAATTAAGAAAAACTGAAATCAGTACTGTAAAATGTGCCTTAAATCTATGGGGCTGAGATTGAAAGAGCCGTTGTTCTTGAGAAGTGAACTGATCTGAAGTTTCCCTTGAGTACGTAAAGCACAAAGATAAGGTGTAGTTTAGGTTCGCAGTCTCTGGGTTGCCTGCCTCCTGTCTTGCACTGCACCCAGTGAGGCAATGCAGGGTACTAAACCTAGCCAGAATTACTTGCTTAGACTTCTCCTTAGGGTTGTTTTTCTGACCCAAGTGTTCTGGGCTTCAGCAGGTACACAAGCACAAGGGGATTGTCAGGGCAGACCATGGGGGTTGCAACTGCCCCTGTGGGGTGAGTGCCCACCAGAGCAGGTCTGTGGGGTGATGTGAGCATCACTACTGCTGCTCGTCACTGAGCCCACCACCACACTCCCTTCATCCTTCCCTGATGTTGGTGGTGTGACTGGAGCTCCTAGACATGCTGTGGAGAGCAGGTGACCCTCTCCCTCGTGAGCACACGGTACCAGCTCTGTGGCTGTGGACCGGCTGCCAATTTCAGTGCTTGAAAATAGCGCTGGCAGCCAAGAAACTTCCAACTGCAGCTCTGCTAATGACTGGTGTTGTGGTTTTGGGCAACTCCCTTGGTTGTCTTTGACTCAGCTCCCCTTTCAGTAAAAAGGGGATGATACTTACTGTTGAGATGATTAATTATTGTGCTTCAGATGTCAAGGTCCCGACATGTATTTTTACCACTGTTATGGAGAACCTTCTCTGCTTTTATTAAGAAACTCTGGCTCCAAGAACAGGACAGATTGCAGGGACTTTTTTCTTTTGAGGTTCCCTCCCCCCCCGGTAATTTATGAAACAGATCACATTGACTTTCAGTACCAAAGTGCCAACCACCACTACCAGTCTTTTGAATCTTGGCTCCTTCTCCTCCCCTTTTCCTTCCTCTTAGAATCTCCCCCTTGACTGTCCACCCTTCATATTAAACCTTTCCTAAATTAAAGACAGGATGCTGGATAAAGTTAAAAAGAAAATTTTAGTTGAGGCTGATGTTGAAATCCTAGCAATAAGGCTAAGGGTTTGCTAACGATGTAGTGAGATATAGAAATGTTCTGCTTTTTTCTCAGAAACCCATTCTGTGTGGAGGTTGTACAGTTTCCAGGCTCAGACTTGGCTGCCAACTTGAGATGTGTCAGTAACTTGCTGGTTTTTAAAAAATAAAATTAAAAAGTCTAAAAATAATATTGGGGGGAGCCCCATGAGTGAAAGATTGCAAAATTCACATATGAGATTAAATTTAACTTAAAACCCCCTAGATATTTAAATTAAAGGAAAATATTAGTTAAGGTACCCGGACAGAGCTCTGAAAACAGCAGAAATTTGTTTGCTGTTAAATCTCCCACAAAAAATGTGCTCTCTAGGTTTATGAGTGACCTCCAGCTGCAGGTGGTAATTTCCTGCTCCAGGTGAAAGAGAGAGAAGATGTGTTTAAGGAGCAGAGAGCTCTCTGTAGTCCACCCATATGGGTGGGGGGGCTTTAAGGGCGGGCAGCTGTTGGTGCTCCTATTGGATGCCTCTCTGCAGCCCAAGGAGCAAAGCCAAAGGTGTCTCTCGTTTAGTCTCTGGTGACCCTCTTGATGCTCAGCCAGTAGCCAGGGCTTCTTGTGACTTGTGGACTCCATAAACCCCAAGTTTTAGAAAACATATTCTTTGAAATATATTCATAGGCTTCTGTCCCCAGAATGAGCCTCTGGTGTCTATTCCTTCTGTCTTTCTAGAGCAGATCATGAACTCTCACTCGGTAATTTCTGTAGCGAGTGCATAACTTCTCTTGTTACTTTTCAGAGTCTGCTCCTGACTATACGTGATGGAAGGAGACATGTCCCCTTTTTGTTTATCCATGGAGGGATGTAATAAATAGTGCATGGATGTAGTACGGTGCGTAGTGTTTTTGTTGAATACAAGTTACTGTGAGTTGATAAGTAGAGAGAAGATATGGATATCATAAACTTTGGTGCTCAGATCTGCCATTTCCATGCTTGGAAATCACTTCACGTTCCTTGTTTATCCACATAAAATTTTGAATCTCTAGCACCAATTAACGTTAGGTAGAGTAGCAGAATGGTAGATTGCAGTCTGTCCTTGAGTTCTGGGAAAAGCCTTGAATACCCAGAACTGAGGCCATGAAGCACTTTGAAGACAAATGAATTTTGATTTTAATATTCTGATGGTGCCTAGGGAGCAGCCTGTGCTTCTGAAGAGTTGTGCTCCAAGAGCCATACTAGTTGGTGTTATCCAAATGCAGAGGTCTGTATTTCTGAATGGATAGCACTGCTGCAAAGTGAGGAAGATGTAAATGCCAGAGGAACTGCACAAGATTTTAGTCAGCTGGATAAGACTGAAAGTGGATCTTGGGGAAATCGTATTTAGCAAGCTTGCTGTTGATGAGTTTCTGAGCATACCACACATCCACTGTAATTATGTACAGTCAGGCAGAGGAGTTGAATTCCTAACTCCTCAAAACTTTTTCATCTGACCAGAAGCAGCTTTTGTGGTACTAGTTTTGGCTAATGTATTCTTTATCTTCTGAGTAAATTTTGGTAGAGACGTTTAGCCACTTTGTTGGTAAGTCACTGATAACTGTTATCCTCTTTGATAAGCCAAATATGCAGACCATTTAAACTCTCCATGTAAGATGTATTCTCTGAATCTTTTCTGAAGGGAATAGACCAGAAATGCAAGTTGCCCTTGTTGTTACTGTTTTTTAGATAATACTCTACCTCCCTGCCTTGCCTTATACGAAATAACATTCTTATCCATCCAGTGGTTACGTTTCCTTCTTTAGTTGCAGATTTGTGCAGGAAATTTAGTGTCTAGATGGTGCCTGCTCTGACCCCCAGTCTTTTTTACGGGATTGTTGCCTTCCCAAATGCAGTTCCTCAAGGGTATCTCTCAGGGTTCTTCTTTTTCGTTTTTTATCCCCAGTAGTTTGTAACTTTATATTACTGCTGTAGTAAAACCAGCTGCTGTTCAGAGAAACTATACCTAGCAAAATATACACTTTACTAGAAAGTTACCTGATTGTTTTTTTGCTTACCATTGTTACCAGGTTTCATATTCTGTGCAGACGATGAGAATTGATTCCATATTTTCTTTCTGGTAATGGCAACGAACAGCATCCCATCAGGCCCCCAAAACACCAGTGAAAAAATATGAGAAGAAGTGGGGTACATGATGTCATTACAAATAACACTTACAGAATTTTGTATCATTGAACTTCTTGTACTCTGCAGTTTAGGTTTGTGTGAACATAATTACAGCTTTGAATTCTTTCTTTTAAATATTGCATGTATGTGGGGGAGTAGTTGTTTTGTTTTTGCTAAGTAGCATTTTTCCAGACAATTGCATTCATACCACTTGTGTTCTTTTTTGAAGGTTAAATTTAATGTTGATAGGGGTTTTTTTGGTCTGGTTTTTATGAGATTAAATACTAGACAGTTGCACGTTTACCATCAACTGATAGTCAAAAGGTGCAGTCTCATGAAACTAAATGAATAGGTCTTGATTTCCTGTGGGTGTGGGGGTTTGTGTGTGTGCACTGCTTACCAATAAGGAATACAGCAACTTGCTTCTGAGATAGCTATGTTGCCAACTTTTATACTGTTGAAGTAATTTTGTTAAACAGGAGAAAGAAAAAAAGTTCATAAATCATCAAATGGAATTTGTCTGCGAAGTGTGCCAACAGGGTTGGGTCTGTTTTTCCTCCTCTGTTTTATCAGGAGGAAAGCTCATTGCTTTTGTACTGTATCGGCCTTTTGCTTTCACATGGTGAGCCTTAACAGTATACTGCTTTCATGATTTATTCTAACAGTTGCCTATGAGTGTAGTGTTTGAACACACCTCTCGGAGATTAAAAAGGTCAAGACTTTTACTTCCATAGGGATGTCGTACACAGCCTCGTTTTAGGCATGTCACTCTGAAGTCACTCAAGTAATTTCCCTAGGGTGGTGTGGGTAGGCTGTGGGGATTTGGGCAATGGTACCCTCCCAACAAAGCCATCTTCTGCTGGTCAGGGAGTACTCTCTTTGGTTTGTCTGTTACAGGCTCAGATGAATTTTACCTCTAATATATCCTAGTGGTGTCCCTTTGATCCTGTGCATTGCTAGTTTGAAAACTTGTTATTTTAACAATGCCATGCTTTTTCTTTTACAAGGAAAAAGTGTACACTCTCTGGCCTTTATCCTAGTCTGTGCTATTAAAAACAGGCAAATGATTAGACCTGACTGTGTCCACTTAAACTTCTTTTGGATTTCTTGAGTAGACAACTTGAAAGAACAAATTATATCTTGTCCTTTTTCTCTCTAGTTTCTTCTGATGTGGAGCTTATAACACCATCTCCTTTTGTAGCCTTAAGAGAGGGAGATAGAATCATAAAATAGAATCATAGAATCAACCA